ACTGTGTTTCTACTCCACAACATGTATTTAATACCTTTAGTTACTTTACAGATGTGGATGCATGATGTGAAATCTAATCAAGTGTTAAATCAGACTTTAGTTCCACCTGGAGTAAATTCACACAGACAAGACGGACAATTGGGGGAAAATACCCTGCATTTTGAATGTCCGTTAGTCCACCATTAACACCTTAGTCCCGTCTCGTCTCGTCAACGAAAACTAAATATACATTTCGTCAAAGTTTTCGTTATCAAGAATCTATTTTTAGCTCGTCATCGTCTCGTCTTAGTCATGTAAAAAAGGTTGTTGACGAAACATTTTCGTCATAGTTTTCGTTGACGAAATTAACACTGCTCTAGGCTGAACCATCATTTGATCTGATTTAAAAATCTAAAGCTGTACTTATCAATATTTCTTCAGCATCACCCTACACTGCAGTTTCCCCTCTGATCTATCACTTACATATCTTTGAGTCACACTTGTGAAAGTTGCATATTGGGCCAAGTTTTTGATCCAAGCTAGTTCTGATGTCACAAAATCCTGCTCTTGTGTTCACATGATAAACTCAAATGTATTCTGAGTAATGAGAAAACTCTCCTGCCTTCAGCAGTTTAATGTGAAACAGCCTTCTAGTGTCATCTCTGGAGACACAGTACTCTGCACAGTGAAGGTCAAGCATCCATCTAAAGTAGCGAAAACCAAAGCACTAGAGGAAGACTTTAACTTCATTGATTTTATTCCTGCTTCCCCTGCTTCCTCCAGGTTCAACAGTTCCAGGAGACCGCCTCGCGGCTGCATGCCCAGTACGCAGGCAGCCAGGCGGACACCATCCAGGCCACAGAGCGAGAGGTGCTGGAGGCCTGGAGGGGCCTGCTGGACGCCTGCGATGGCCGCCGCGCACAGCTGGTCGACACCGCTGAGAAGTTCCGCTTCTTCACCACGGTGCGAGACCTGATGGCGTGGATGGAGAGCATCATCCAGCAGATAGACACTCAGGAGAAACCCAGGTGAGACCCAATGGCTTCACAGCTTTATCACAGCTCAACAATGTGACACAATTACTGGACATAAAAAACACACTGTTTTCACACACACATGTAACTAATATGTATACATGACCAAATATGTATGTTCATTTTCATTCATTTCTTATTTTATAGTTATTTTATCATTTTAAATGTTTATCTTTGATTTTATCTGTAAATCTGTGCTGTCCTGTTTTTCATCCTTAAATTACTGAATTTCCCCACGGGGATTAGTAAAGGTCCATCTTATCTTATATTATCTTATGTTATTAGATCCATTCAGTACATTTTAACATCCATTTCTGTTAATTCCAAAAGAGCAAGGGGCAGCATCTGATTTCTGATTCACACAGATGGAAAAACAAACCTGAAACCATTCCCTTAGAGTGTTTGAGTTTTACTTTTTATTCACATAATTTTAAAAAAGTCAATAGAAATGTCGACTTGATTTTTTTTGTGGGTAGAGAGAGAAATAAAAAAAGCCCTCCAACCAAAACCATACCTGAGTGAAATACATATTTACGAGTATTTATGATTACTTTTTTATACATATTCTTTTTCGATTTTTGTTGGTGCGTGGAAACAAAAGAATAATCTCTTCTGAGTATTCAATAATATCAATGTTTGCCATTTCCAACGGATGTTTTCTCATTTCTCTTAAAACATGTACATTTTTTAGCTTTGGAATAATATCTCTTTGAGAGACTTTTTATTTTACTGGTAGGATTTATATAACACAACTACATTAAACAACACTGAAATCTTGCCTGGTAACAACCTTTGCAGTTCCAGTCCCTACCGACAGAGGTAGATACACTTCAAGCATTACTGTACATGTTATGACTTTCTATCCTCCCCTCCTCTGCATCAGGGATGTCTCGTCCGTGGAGCTCCTGCAGAAGTACCACCAGGGGATCCGCTCGGAGATCGAGGCCAGGGGAGGCAAATTCACCGACTGCATAGACCTGGGGAAAGCCCTGCTGACTCGAAAGCACCGAGACTCTGCTGAGGTGAGGCTTCGGCAGCAGAGACAGCTTCATTTCATCCTCAGCTGGGCCTTAAATTGCTGCTTTCATTAGATTTAATTACTTTTCTGGGAGAGATTGTTCTTGTCTGGCACAATAGAACCAATTGGATTGCCACGAAAGAAAAATGTCCACTCATCTTTCATTCATCAGGGGGACTATAAGGCACACACTAATTAGAAATGGAAAAGCCAAAGAATTTTAATGAGCAATTGACCCGGGCCTGAATTTAATGTGCCATTAATTACTTCACAATACTAGTTCTTCGAGGATAATAGCCGGTCTCTGTGCTGAGTTGGTTAATATTGCTGATATGTAACTGCGACTGTATAACTGCTTGTGCCAGATCAAAGAGAAGATGGTGCAGCTGATAGACAAAAGGAAGGAGATGATGTTCAAGTGGGATGACAGATGGGACTGGCTCAGACTCTGTGAGTAAAAATACACCAACCTCCACCCGAAAAACAAATCCTGTACATGAATAATCTCACACATCTATGGTAAACTGTCAAATGCCATGACACTAACAAATGTGAACAGTATATACAAACATTTACACAAATACAAAGATGTTCTATGATTGTGTTTCAATACAATATGTATTTTCTCTTACACCGAGAGATTCAACCCACTTAACTTTGGAGTCAGAGTTTAATTTATTACATTTTAATACAGCTTTCTGTTCTGTGACATTCAGGTTGAAGTCTAGAGAAGGGTTGCTACAATTACAGAAAAGGAGTGTAATATATTTCTGACAGTGTCCTCCCATTCTTAAATGTTCTCCACGTCTTGACATGTTTTCCCCTTCCAATATATGTCCTCAGTTTCAAAGAATAAGTGCTCTACCTTTTAAAAAGATTATCCCACTTTTTAATAGAAGTCTGCCTTCCAAAAAGTTTTTTTAATGTTACTTTTAAAAATTGCCACACAATGCAATTTTCAGCCCGTAACATGAACTTCCAGCTACATTTTCCCATTATAAACGCCCTCATAAAATAGTCTTTGAGTCCAAAATATATTGATATATTCATGTGACTGTATGAACGGTATGGTTCAAATTACGGCCAGCATTAATATTTATGGATACTTTCTTTTGAAATTGCTTGACTGTAAGGACTACACTGTTAGCGCTCTCTTAAAGCTCACCTATTACACAGTTTTTCCTTAATATATTATAGTTCTCAGATATATACAAAACATGTCTCTGAAGTGTTTGGCTCCAAACACCAAACAGATCATTGCAGCATTACCCATAATCCCCTCTGTTTCAGCCCTGTTTCCAAAGTGCTGATTCTCTGTCTGTTACTTTAGATGAAAATAAGGAGCCACTCCTTGGTTAAAAAGAACTCAATGGTGCTCTAGGAGGAGATTCAGGTGATAAGGGGGGGGGGTTACCGTCCCGGCAGGTGATAAGGGGGGGCGGGTACCTGCTTGCTGATTTGGCTAATGGTACCACCCAAAGGCCAGACACATCCCTAGGGTAGACTCGACCACATGAGGTGTTTGGAACCAAGGAGTGTGCGGCATCCTATATTGTCATCTAATAAGGAACAGGAGTCGCAGAGGCAAATCAGCACCACTTTTGAAGCAGGGGCGCGCTGAAACAGAGGGGAAATTATGGGTGAACCTATG